TTTTTTTGTACTTAGGAGTATATATTGTTTATATTTTCTCTAGTTGAATTTGAAATGCTTATATAATAGGGGTATATAGCAAGGCTGCATGATACTAACATGTAAACTTATAATGTCAGCATGGGTTTAACACTGGATAAACCTTATGGCATACATTCCAAACTGAGTTTAGCATTAAGGGGTATAATGTCCACTCAGATTTTTATAGGTTTTCTGTTCAAAAATGGACCTCAGTAGGCTAACCTAAAATATCCAGAGGTGGTTCTTTTAAGGAGGGGGGGGGCAAGTTTAAATTGAATTTTTTTTTCTAGATGTTTAGTCAAATACCCACAGGGTATGATATAATAATGTTTCATTTTTGGTTTAGCCTCATAATTAGACAAGGCATTTTGTGCACATTACAAAGCCACACTTAATATGTATCTCATATTTCTCTTATAGTCTTCCATCATGCATTACTACCTATTTGTCGCCTGTGTTGAGCAGTCAATCCTCACAAGAAAATACACTTGAAAGGTATGTGTGTATATAGTTAAAGTGCTTCAGTGTGTCATTGCCATGGTAAGATGCAGTAGTTTAACTTATATCATCCCTATCAATGGATTAAGTATTAAACAACTAAGAAATTAATTTAGCCTACTTCTTGCCTGCGACTCTCTTCTGGAATTTAGTACATTATTCTTCTTAAAATATATGTAAGTGACAGGGATGGGGGTAGGAGGAGGCTGGAGAAGAAGAAGGGAAATATATTTAGCAGAGTAACCACTTCCCTGGAAAATAATTACATTATTTCATCTACATTTCAAAGTATACATTAACAACTTCATTTCAATATGCAACATTACGAATAAGCGCGGGTGGATTGGATGCAAACTAGGAAATAAGTCATTAGAAGACAACTGAAACCAACGGTTCAATAATACGATAGAGAAACATGGATTGTTGATTCGTTGCGGCCAAAATCGAGCGTACAAAACTAACCTGTCTGTCCCTGACCTCATAAAGTTTAGAACATTTCACATCGCAAATAGAAAAAATAATAGTTAGAGAAACGTGGATCAGTATCATGCTAGATTCCTTAAGTTTCAGTTGTCTTCTTAGCCGTTTTTTATTTTGCATATCAGTGAAATAACATATGATATTAACGGTGAATTTTGTATGTTTTATTAGATTAGGTGTGAGTTTTTAAATTTTTTTTCTATTCTCTTCACAGAGAGAGAAGCAGCCCAGGCGACGCAGCAGAGTTCCTCAGATGAATCTTAGTCATCATCATCATTCCTCTTCGTCCCTTGTGGGAATTAAGGCCACAGTCACTTCTTTCCAGTGTAGTGTCGTAGTCAAAGATATGCTGCAAATCTTGCGACTCACAGAGCGTCATCTATTTGATATGATGTTAACAATGCCATCAAATGTACGTCGGGGAAACGAGGCAGAAATTAAAAGACAGAATTAGACACCACCGCTGCCCTATAAACAACAAAAACCTCTTCGTGCCTGTGGGACAACACAACACTCAGCTAAAGACATCACCGTCACCGTCTTAAAAGGAAACGACACTAGGCAAAGTCAGATCGTCGTACAGAAATGTATTAGAACACTAGACACCTTGAATAATGGACTCAGTAGGGACAATAGTTTCTTAAATGAATATTGATTTTTTATATGTTACGTTTAGCGTTTAGGACGCTTTTGCAGCATCGCGTGCCTTTAACACATCATCGACGCCACATACCCCAGAAGTTTTTCTTCACCATTTTTTTAATGTCTCTGAAGAAGGCCTAGGGACCGAAAGCTTGGATTATATATGACATCTGTAAAGTAGATCTTTAGAGATGCATCAGTAATAATATTTATTTTCAATAACTAATTGAATTATCGTTATTAACTCACTCAGATTTATAAAGATGTTTCTTCACAAAACATGATTCACGTTGTTATTATTATTATCTTTTAGGCCAACGGGACTTTTTCACTTCAGTGAGAGGGTTATTACGAAGAAACGCCGCTGCTACCCTATTGCCAACGTTCGCCAATTGAGTCATACATACATTTGTAGCTGGCTGACCATGGAGAGTCCATAATAACATTGGCTAATTAAAGAACGGCATTATTTGCATAACGGTGGTAAAACGATGGTTAACGACGTTGGCGCGAAGTTGGCAAGAAGGTGGCACCGTTGGCATAACAGCGGCTAACCGCCGATAGTAATAGCTCATAACGACATTGGCCCAACGTTGGCGCGACGTCGGCAAAAGGTCGGCATTATAGTGGCTGACCGCCGGTTATCGATAATAACGTTGGCCCGACGTTGGCGCGACGTCGGCAAAAGGTCGGCATAACAGCGGCTAACCGCCGATAGTAATAGCTCATAACGACGTTGGCCCGACGTTGGCGCGAAGTTGGCAAATTGTCGGCATGACAGCGGCTGACCGCCGTTTATCCATAATGACGTCGGCCCAGCGTCGGTGCGACGTTGGCAAAAGGGTGGCAGACCACCGGTGGGCCGACGGCGGGCCGCCGGACACGCCGACTTCGAACCGACGTCGTCTGCCAACGTTGGCCCGACGGAGGCAAAGTCGTCGGGCCGACGTTGGCGCGACCACTCTTTGCTATCTGGGCTAACACATACTAGGTACAATCACTGTTACAGGACAGAGTACCGACCTATCTTAAAGGTACATACGAACCGAGCATCGGTGGAGCGTGGATTCCCAGTAACACATGTAAACCACTTCTACTAGTTTTTTTACGACTCAAAAAAATTCAACATGCCAAGGGATAAACTGAATAGATCACTTGATCAGCCATAAAAAAAAAATCAGGCTGTATTAAGTAAATGGCGGTCGCGGTTGCTTTGAAAAATGTGTTTGTCGATTTTGTGCAACAACAACATCCCCTTTGACCTTCCTCCAATTTGTTTTGCACTACCACTAGCCATATTACGCGTCTGTATGCTTGAGTCGTCACAACTAAACTGATGAACTTCACAGCTTAGAGATACTACTGCGCATGCGTCAACAGCTTGGAATATTAGTCCCATTTTTCTTAATAAGTTGACACATTGCCAA